CCCCCCTCTCCCCCCCCCCCCACACACACAATCAGTTTTATGTATGCATGTCTATTGGCTTGTTTTTCCTCCTTCCCCTGATGTTTTGCTTTCTGTCTGTTGGAGCGAGCACCCTCAAGAAGTGCTAAACAGTAGGTGGACCGTTGTTTGTAGTGATTACAGCACACTCAGGGAGGGGGCTCGGTTGGGATGTCTGTGTTGCCTGTGGGTGATGACGGATGTTCATCTGGATGGCTGCCTGGCTCAGTGGGCGGTAGGAACCAACAGTCTGCGGGGTCCAGTCGTGATGTAAATGGGTGATGTGCCGGTTTGGTCTGTGTTGGATGTGTGGTGTGGTTGTGGTTGCCCTGTGCTTCATTGCACTGCTGCATTGCTGCCCATCCGTGTGCTGTGCCTTCCGTGTTCTTTACTTGTGTCAAGTTGTATGCCTTGTAGGGTGGCTGCTATGTTGGTGCTGCCTTGTGTTTCGCTCTGCTTTTGCCCTGCTGCTCTGTGTGCCATGCCTTCCGTGTTCCTTGCTTGTGTGCCGTGTAGCAGTGCCGGACCTGTGAACGTTCCTTGCTTGTGTGCCGTGTAGCAGTGCCGGACCTGTGAACGTGACCGGCACTGGTCACTTGAACGTGACCGGCCGTTCATTTGGTGTTTTTTTTGTGATCACGGTGAACGGGCCGACCACTAAATAGTGTTTTTTTTTTTTTTGGGCTCCACAGCGTGATGACATTGCGAAATAAAAAAAATCGAAATGACCTACAAAATAGCAAACGAAAATGCTTATTTTGGCTGGCTGATTTTTTTTTCATTTAAAAAAATATATATATATTACTCGTGATTTTTTTTTTTTGAAAAAATTATAGGGAGTTACACTTCTATGTCCCCCACCCTCCTATAAAAAATAAAATATACCCCCCAGCCAAAAAAAATAAAAAATAAAAAAATGCTCTCCGTGAACTCAAGAACTCCCCTGTCGTGAACGGGGTGAACTCCATGACTGGTCTCCGTCCACAGACCCCGTGAACGGTGACCGGTGGTACGGCACTGCCGTGTAGTATGGCTGCTGTGTTGGTGCTGCCTTGTGCTTTGCCGTGCTGTTGCCCTGCTGCTCATCCGTTTGCCAT